CTTTTTTTAAGCTTTTTATAGTTTTTGACTTTTAACTCAAGTTTGGTTAGGAATTCTGACATGACTCTGAGGCAAAAGTGGTTTGCATTGTTATTCTGCATAACATACTTTTTTTTCAGATTATTTTTATTTTTATTTTTTTTAATGGTCCGGACATTTCCGGAAATGTCCGGAATTCCGGACGTCCGGAAACTACCGGACACGGGTCCGGTTCCATGTCCGGAAATGTCCGGGTCCGGGTCCAGCGTAGCCATGTAAATTATATCATACCCCTTTAAGCCCCTTTAAGCCCCTTTAAGCCCCTTTGAGCCCTTTCTAACCCCACTTTTACCCCATAGGCACCCTTCGGTGAGATTTACCAAATTCAAAGATAAGGCCAGATTTGGGCACGTCCCAGTGGACGCAAAGTTGCGGCACCGCCAAAGAAAAAGAAAAAGAATTGACCCCTTTTTTGGTGACAGCTATCTGACAGGTGTCTGCCAGAGTAATTTTTATCCCAGACAGAAATGGCCAGGCCTGTCATGCACCTTGCAGATGCCTGGCGACCACTTGGAAGAGACCGGTGGACATCTGGGCAGATACCTAGCACTTTGGCACCTGGCACATGGCACCTGGCACCTGGCACCTGGCTGGAAGACACCTGGCACCTACCACCTGACACGTGTCCCAAGTCGGGTAGCCCCTGCCGCAGGTATACCTGGAAGACACCTGTGAGACATCTGGGAAGACACCTGGGACCATGGCACCTGGCACGTGGCATATGTCCCGTGGCACATGCCACCTGGCTGGAATACACTTGGCACCTACCACCTGACGCGTGTCCCAAGGCGAGTAGCCCCTGGCACAGGTATATCTGAACGACGCCTGTGAGACATCTGGGCAGACACGTGGGACCATGGCACGTGGCACGTGGCATGTGTCCCATGACACATGGCACGGCACCGGGCTGGAAGACATCTGGCACCTACCATCTGATGCGTGTCCCAAGGCAAGTGCCCCCCTCACAAGTATACCCACAAAATAAATAATGGAAGGAATGTTGGACAGTGAGGTCAACGTTCGAGTTCTTCGCTTTTTCTGTGCTTGGCAGTGGTTGATTTGAGTAGTGTGTTTGTACTTCAGAGTCCAGACACTCGCGGGATGTCGTTGGTGTGCTTGGACTCGTGGCAATCGCCGACTTCAGTGGTGTGCTTGTACTTGGCATTGGTTGACTATCGACTCCTCTTCTGCGGTTTCCACCTCTGTACTCGACAGTCGTTGACTTCAGTGGTGTGCTTTTGTACCAACCAATGGCATGAGTTTGTTTTGAACAGGACGAGATCCACGAGCTCTTGCTGGCTTTTGCAGAAGCGGGTGCAACAGTCTTACGACTAAAAGGTGGCGACCCACTGGTAAGTTGATGTGTGCATGTTTGTTCAGAACACATTTGTGAAGTTTTAACAGGTTTGGCAAATTTCCCTTTTTCTTTGTCCACTCCTCCCCCTACCGAGAGCAGCCCATTTGACTTTGTATCTACAGCAGGTTGACTTCAAAATGCGTATTTTGATTGCAGTTCCTTCCCCCCCGTCCCCGCTCCCCCCTTTCCCCCTGTTTTATTTACTTATTGAATCTTGTTCATTGACTTATTTTGTGTGCACATGTGCGTGAGCATGTGTGTTGTCATGTTTGCTAAACTGGACTCAGCGAAAAATGCATGGCTGTCACTGGCTGTGGCAGACTGATTGGTCAGGTTTCCGTGGACCCGTCAAGAGGTTGAAAACCTTGACAGTCTGCCCAAGGTGCATATCACAATTTTGACTGAAACCCCTAGTACACGACATCAGAATCATTACCCCAGAAAGCCCTCTGGTCACCCTATACCATGTAAACCACCAGTACCCCGCGTAGGCAAACTTGAGGATCGAAAATGCGACAACCCGGGTTCTTCACATGAACAGTGCTACTGGACAACAATGGTCATTGGCGCAGGCCAAAAGAAAAAGAAAAAGCCTCCGTGGCGGTTTCTTTTACGGCACGCGAGGGAAGCAGAAGTAGGGGTCAGCAGCTTGGATCAGTCTTCTCCTCAGCCTCAGGTTGGCGTCTCGACCAGCCGGTGGTAAAGACGGCTGCCCGATGTCATACTGGAGTTTGCAATCTGTCTTATCCTCTTGTTTTTCTTTTCTTTTTCTCACACACTCTGTCTTTAAGTTACTCTTAAAGTTTCTGGTCTCCTCACTCTCTATCCCAACCCGCAGCCACTCTCTTCCTTGGGCTGGCTTTCAATACATACAGGATGGTGTGGGGCAATGACCAACTGGAAGAGTGGCGTGAGGTGATGAGTACTGACAAGGCTATGTCAAAGTCTTTTCTTTTTCTTTAACCTCGCAAGATCCAACTCAAAACACATCACACATGAAGAGAGCATTGGCACGAAAGTTCACGCCACACCCGAAACGATGACCCAAGATGCAGCACCTGATTGAATTCCACTCAAAGATATGATATAATACAATTGGAGAGTTCAGGTGTCTAGCTGCAGCTGCCGCGATCCTACGACACAACCCAAAACTTTAGGTATGTACCCATCTCCCCCCTTCTCTTGCTCTCTCTCTCTCCTGTCTCTTATACACATCTAGATGTGTATAAGAGACAGCGAAATAGGCAAAGCAAAAACATGCATCACACGCACTTTTCAGCACACGAGACACCTGGTCACACTTGATGACAAGGTAATCGGTGAAGATCAGCATGAGCGTGAGATCGTAAAAATAGGAAGATACAACACGTCACCCGCCGGACATAGCTCCCGACGTGTGTTTCGACCGTGTGTCGGTTGTGGCCTGCTCAGGGGATACCACCCCGCTTCATCCACCAAACCTACACGGAGTGTCCAGACTCCCAAAAGCTCTCGCTGACAACGGAGGCATAGATCCATTGGTGCCGACAACTGCAAATGAGTTCGGCTGAAAGAGGACTGAATAGTGCACATGCTATTTATAGTCAAACCTTTTTTTTTTTTTTTAATTCCATCTGGATTTTTTTATTTTTTTTTAATCAAAAAGCTATGTTCTCCTCTCAATTTCACCTCACACTACCGAATACCTACCACTACTCCTAATTGTAGGCATACGGGGAACCCCGTAGCAGCCAGAACCGTGTTCACGAGAGAACATGCGGGGGCTGCTCCCGACCTGCAGGTGTGCGATACCGGCTAGGGGATAGCCGGTAGCATCAGGGACCATGCCAACTCAGGACCAATCCCTGTGCCTCCCCTCGGGTGGTGGTCCCCCATCCCCTACGAACATCAGCAGACTCTGCTCAATGCCGATCGGGGCATCCAGTGGTCTATCTCTAACTGGTAGAACACCAAGCTTGCCCAGGCACATACGTGAGGCCAATGGGGATTGAACCCGCGACCTCCTGAATGCCACTTGTGTGCCTTACCAACTGAGCTAGGCCGCTGGATTCCATCTGGATTCGAACTTCAGTCTGTGTTTCAACAATTCATTGGTATACGAAAACCTCAAATAGATCACACCAAACAAGGACGAAACACAACGAGGGTAAATTTAAAGGTCTAGTACCTATCTCGGTTACCCGCTGGGCCATCCGGGTTGCCTCAGATTGCCCCGGGTGGTGTGGCGGGGCCAGGTCCGGGCAAAGTCCCCGGTCAAGGTCCCGGGCAGTCCCACCACAAAAACAAGAAAAAAAACAAAAAACAAAAAAGAACTCAAAACAATCTGGAGAAAAACTATTT